TTCAGTTGTATTCTATTATTATTATTATTATTATTATTATTATTATTAATTTGACCAGAGAGAGACAGAATGAAAACAGGAAAGTGAGAAAGCAACCCGCCAGGTCCAGGACTCGAACCACGGTTGAGCATGTGGAAATCCAGCACCTTTAACCACCATGCCACCTGCCAGCCCCTGATATATGAATTTATGGAGCACTTATTCTTTACCACCAGTAATTCAGGCCTCTGCCCTCAAGAGCTTGGCTTTCATATTGTGATAAAGTAAGAAACAAACAAAACCCCCGATGTCCTGTGACTAGCTGGGTGTGGTGTGGCCCCGCTTGCCTGGGAGGCAGGGAGGCCCTTTCCCAGGAGGGTGGTCAGGATTTGATCTGAGTCGGGAAAAGGAAAAGGAGCCCTGGCCGCATGTGTGGAGAGTTGGAGGAGTATTCTCGGCAGCAGGAACACCAAAGGCCCTGAAGTGATAAAGTGGATAAATTGGAGGAACAGTATGAATGAACAAGGGGAAAGGGAAAACAGAGGGTTTTTAGAGAGGAAACAGCCAGATCCACCAGACTTGGGGGTAACTTTTTTGAACGTCAATGCCCCGGGGGTGATTACATGGCATCACTCAGGTCATTCTCTTCCACAGTCCTCATAGGTGGGAACCAACACCATCCCTTGTCTACCAAAGGGCCCAGAGAGGCGAAGTTCCTCAAAGGCCATACAGCTGGTAAGTGGGTAAGCCAAGATTCCAAGCCAGGCAGCCTGGCCTCGGAGTCAGAGTCGTCGTGTTTAAGCGTTCACTTGTGTGCTTCTCTGATGACTTCAATGCCCAGCCCAGATTCCTAGGGAGGCTGGAAGGTGGCCCAGAGAAAGTGTGAGACCACACTCCATCCCCAGTCTGGTTTTGCCTTCCATGAAGCCAGCTGGTGTGACGGTTCCCACACAGTCACACGGCCAGTGGGCCAGCATGTATCATGTGGCAGTAGGTGAAGCCACTTCAGCCCATGACCCTCAGAGGTCTGCAGCTACCCTTCCATCCAACCCCAGACACCCCCCCGTAACAAACTGACACTCACCATAGTGAAATGGGTCAGGTTCCTCGGGCACTGTGAGAAGCAAGGCAGAGAAACAGAGGAGAAAAAGATTTCAACACTGGCTTTCTTGACATTTTTGAGGATCCAGATGGGGCCCCAGCCTTGTGGTTTCTTTGTGGAAATCCAGATCAAAGAGACCACTTGTTCTAATGGTATCGCCTCATGGCAGGACCCGAACCTGGAGTGGAGTGTTGGCTGGATTCTGGTCCCCACTCACTGCATCAGCAGGTCCCCTGTGCAGTGTACGACCTGCCCAACTGTACATGGCAGTCCTGGCCTCAGCCCCCTGTGGAGGTCTGAAGCAAGCTATGGATTCACTCCCTGATTCAGAATGGATTCTATATTAGCTTTCCGTGTGTGCGTGTGTGTGTGTGTGTGTGTGCTCATGCATGTAACTCTACCACATGAAACACACTTGTACATTAAAAGACCTGCACTACGTTCAGAAATATTCATGTGTGGATAAAAAGTGTGTGTGTGCATGGATCTTCTTTTTCCCATCTCTCATTCTCCTGCCCCAAACCATATTCGCCTTCAGGAGAGCTCAGAACATCCTTCTCCTTCTAGAAGTCCATCCTGAGGGCTCTGCAATTCCTCTGCTGGATGTTGGTGCATTCTGCCTTTCCTAGAGCAGAATTCGACAGTGCGTGTCACTAGGAGACCAAAGTCTGTGTGTGTGTGTGTGGGGGGTGTCAGGGTGAGGTCAGAGGTTATCATTAGTGTTCTTCTCTCTTCTGGATTCAGGAAAGGATGACTCCCCTGAGGCTGGATGCGGCCATGTGACTGATTCTGGCCAGTGGACTGTGAGTGGAAGTGGTGTCATGCAGGAGCTCTCTCAGCCTCCAGCCCAGTAATCTGAATGTTCAAGATGGTGGCTACTCTAGTTTTCTTTGGTGAGTAGAAATCTTCCTGTACTCCAAGTCAATTAGTGATGAACTGAGACTTTTGGTACTTTTTGTTACTGTAGCACACACTAGCCTAAACTGACTGATATTAAGTGGTCCCAAGGCAAGACTCTGAATAGCACCACCTCATACAATGTGTAAGGTCTGTGTTCAACCTTTGAAGAAGTCTTAGGCTGGTGCTAAGGTGCCTTTAACACTTCCCAGCCCTTGTTCATTCCCCGCCCCGTCCCCACCCAGCAGAAAACAAACCTCAGACTCAGAGCCACCAGAAGGCAATGATATCTAAGAAGACTTGTGTGCCATTACCTGGTTCCCCCCACACACTTTTTAAAAATTGTTTCTTTTTTTAAGGTTTTTGCCACAGGTCATGTGCACTCACCAGAGAGAGACAGAGACAGTGAGAGGGAAACTGAGAAATCACCCCGCAGCGGGGATAGCCACACTGTAATCCCTTCTCCTCCATTCTCCTCCTGGGGTTTTGGGCATGTATGCACATGCACCTGGCATGATTCTCAAGGTGCCCGGTCCAGGGCTTGGACCACAGTTGGCCATGTGGGATTCCAGTGCCTTAACCACCCACTATGCCACCTGCTGGACCCACCTTTTTTTTTTTTTTTTTTTTTTTTTATGGCTGACTTGCTCTCCGAAAGGCAGAAATCACCCCCCAGGGGGGATGGCCATGCCACAATCCCTTCTCCATTCTCCTCTCGGGATCTTGAGCACTCACACACATGCACCCAGCATGAGTTTTTTTTAAGCCTCCGGGTTTGGGATGTGAACCGCGGTTGACTACATGGGAGTCCAGCAACATAGCCATTACGCTAATTGCTGCCCCCCACCTTTTTTTAAAAATCTAAACAGCAATGGACTGCACCAGCTCCAGGACAGATTGTCTTCTAAACACTTTACACATACTACTGTATTTCACCATCACAGCAGCTCTCTGATGTAGGTGTTATCTCCATTCCATTTCACCAAAGGGGAAGGCTGGATCCAGGTCACTTGCTTGAGATTGTTTATATGCCTGTCTTCCATTTAAAATTTTTAAAAATGACTGAATTTTAACTGTGGTGGTGATATAAAATAAAGCCTATTGGTACCAGCAGGTGGCGTGGTGGTTAAGGCACTAGACTCCCACATGGCCAACTACAGTTCAAGTCTTAGACCTAGTAACTTGCTTTCTCACTTTCTCTTTCTCCGTTTCTCTTTGGTGAGCACATGTGCTCTCTAACAAACTTATATAATAATAATAACAAAATAAATACATATTTAAAAATAACTAAAAATATAAAGCCTATCAAGTTTAAAATATTGTAATCATTTATTTAATTGCATTTAGTGATTATTACTTTGTATTTGACCAGAGAGAGACAGAGAGTGAAAGAGAAAGGGAGAAAGCAAGCTGCCAGGTCTGGGATTCGTACTGTAGTTGGCCATATGGAAGTCCAGAGCCTTAACCACCATGCAACCTGCTGGCCCCGATCTATTAAGTTATTCAATGTTCATATTTTGGGGGCCAGCAGATGGCATGGAGGTTAAGGCAGTTGAACACCCACATGGCTAACCATGGTTTAAGGCCTAGACCCACAGGCTTGAAAATCACCAAAATCCCAGGAGGAGAATGGGAGAGAAAGAACTGCAGCGTGGCCATCCACTCTAGGGAGTGATTTCTTTTTTCACTTTGCTTCTCACTGTCTCTCTGTTTTTCTTTGGTGTGCGCATGCACCCTAAGGCAAGATCCTTTTTTTTAAAAAAAAAAAGTTAACATTTTGAAGGAAAACTATTAAATAAATAGCAGCGTGGGGGAACACAGGAATAGGGTAAAAATAGTGAAGGTGGTACTCAGAAGTGTCAAAATGGGGAAACATTGCTTTAGAGTCACCTACGGTCTGTCTTAGCTCCCCCTCCCGACAGTGAGAAGATGTGTTTGACTCATCTCGGCTGTTAACCCTGGCGTTTATGAAAGGTTCTCAGAGAAGTTTTCTGGAATGAATGAATGAAAGAATGAAAGCCCCTCCAAGGCTACAGGAAGCGGCCTCAAAGGTGAGGCAGTTGAGTTATCTCACTTTGGTCTCCTGCTTTGCCATAACCCTCCTTCCCCCCACAAGTTATCAGGAACCCTCTCGAATGAGTGCCTGTCCCAGAATCTTCTTTGACTCCACGCTGAGTGTCTGGTGCTTCCCGCAGAAGATCCTCTTCTGGTTCCTGCTGCCCCAGCGCTCGTCCTGGTCCTCGGGGTGAGGCTGGGCTAAGGGTGGAGCCAGGAGGCAGGAGGAGGAGTATGCACTACTCCTGGCCAGTCGCCAAAGAGAGATCAGGAAGGAGGTGGTTGCTATGGCAACTGGGGCATCTTGAGAGGTGGTGAGTCCAGGCACCCCAGGTTGGGTGAGGTCCTGTGTGAGGTTTGGGGATTGGGTTTCAAACTCCAAGTCCAATCTCGACTCCCTTCTGTTGTTGCCCCCTGCAGAGGTGGCTCCTGGCCAAACTGAGGGTCCCTCTTGGGGACAGGGACCTAAGCCAAGTTGTGCTCATGCGTCCCCTGGCTGTTCTCTCTCAGTTTTCCCTCCTGTTCTCTGGCAGGGCAGAGAGCGTCTCTCCCCTTCTCTCTTCAACAATTCATTAATTAGTTTCCTTTAAGCAGCTTGCCATACACAACATGCTTTTCCTCCCCCGGGGTTTCCCAAGCCCTGCGGTCCCTTCTCATGCTCTAACTGGGAAAAGGAGGGGCTGAGGCATCTGTCCTCCCACCTCTGCTCGTCTGCTGCCATTGATTCTGCTAACCACAACCTCTGCGAAAAGGAGCCCTGGGCTCCCGCCAGGCCTGCTGGCTCAGCCCTGCCCCCTCTCCCTAGGGTGGCTTCCAGCCTCTGCAGCCCCCCCACCCCGCCCTGCTTCGGATTCTGCAGATATGGCTTCAGTGCAGCAGCCCCCGCCTGCTGAGAAAGGGGGAAGGGAAGAAGGGATGGGGTTGGGATTGAGGTTCCCTTCACCACCAGGGACACCTCGGCACCCCTGCTCTATCCCCTGCCCTGCCCTCAGTGCTCGAAACCCGTGTCCTGCCCCCACCTTAAAGCTGTCCATGTCTTGCTCTTCTGCAGAAGCAGGCTAGGCAGAGGGGGTGTCGGGGGCCGCGCGACAGGAGGCCGTGGTGGAGTGGGTGCATAACTGGGTTAATAGGTGTGAAGTGCACATCGATGTGTTGGCTGGGTAGGGGTGGCCGGGGTGCCCATGTGCACCCCCAAGTACACCTCCGCACTGGAAGACACCACTGGACAAGGGCTGGGAAGGAGGTCTCACCACCCCACTCCCACCCATGGAGGTTCACTGCAGTGGTTCGAGCCCCACCCCAGGCTGCCTCCCCTTTCTCTGTATTCTCGCATCCTGTGGCTCCAGCTCGCTCTCCCTCTGCCGCTGTCTCTATCTCCCTTTCCATAGTTGTCTCGGTCCCAGATCTCTGTCTCTGCTCCTTTCTCGGCATCTCTGCCTACTACCCTCTGCCTCCCCCTTCTCTCTCCGAGTCTCTCCGAATCTCCTAGCTGCCTAGCTCGCTGAGATTCTTCTCTGTCTTAGACACACTCTATCTCTTTCAGGCTGCCGTCTCTGTCTCTATTTCGTTCTCTCTCTTCCTGTCTCCATCTCTCTCTTCCTATCTCCATCTCTCTCTTCTCTTTCACTTCCTTCAGCTCTCCCTTCTTTCCTCTAAACCTGCCTGTCAAGGATTGCAAGAAACTCCCACCATAGGAGACTGCGGTGGGAAGAAGAGGGATATGGACCCCCTCCCCCTCGCCACCCCAGGGCCCCTGAAATCTCCCCAACCCTCTCTGGCCGAAGACCCACCTGCTCCCACCCTGGAAGCCCCTCTCTTCCCAGCGGCTACCATCGCTGCTGGACCTGCCACCCGGTTGCCATAGCGACCTGTCCGCGCATCCTTTCTCCCGGGACGGCCCCTCTCTAACAGTGGGTCCCGCACAGGGACGCCACCTCCAGGGAAGAGGTGTCCAAGATCCCCCAGGGACCTTAAGGGGTGCAGGGGCTTATGAGCAGGGGTTTCTGCTCATAGGAGAAAAGGACATGCCCTCCCCACCCCTCTCCCTTTCCAATACTGGAACCTCCCCATGCCCTCTCCTCTCAGCTCTCAGAGCCCCCAGCGCCCCCTCCCCAGGCGACGCTCACCCTTCGTAGGGGTCTGGGTCGGGGTCGCCATGCTGGGCCGGAGCGAGGGACCGCTGGACGCTGAGGCAGAGAAGGCGCGGTTGCAGCAGCTGGAAGCAGGACAGA